TGAAACTCATCTGATTCCGTTCTGCCCAACATACAAGCAGATCTAGACAGGCTGGTATCTGCAGCTTATCTGCGGGTGTGTCCACACAACCCCATATCTTGGTGCTGTCCACAAACTTGGCCAATGGGCTCTTCACCCCCTCATCCAGGTCGTTGAGGAAGATATTGAACAGCACTGGGACAAGTACCGACCCCTGGCATACGCCACTGCCCACATCTTGTCAGGATGACACTGATCCATTCATCTGGACTCTATGTCCTACCCCACAACCAGTTTCGCACCCACTTGAGGGTCCCACAGTTGAGCCTGATATCTTTCAGTTTTCTGATCAGTACCTCATGGGATACCAGGTCAAAGGCTTTCTGGAAGTCAAGGTATATGATGTCAACCGCTTTTCTCTTGTCCAGGTGATGAGTCACCTGATCACAGAAAGAAATGAGGTTGGTCAGACAAGACCTGCCCACTATGCTGGCTGTCATTCAGTATCATGCCTTCTGCAAGTTTGTCACATATCTCCTCTTTGATGAATGATTCTAGGATTTTCCCTGGAATAGAAGTTAAGCTAATTGGCCTGTAGTTTCCGAGGTCTTCACGCTTCCCCTTCTTGAAGATGAGCACAACACTGGCCCTCTTCCAGTCCTCTGGGATTTCTCCAGGGGCCCATCATTTTTTAAAGACCTTTGCTAGGGGCTCTGCAATTACTTTGGCCAATGCTTGCAGCACTCTTGTGTAGAGTTCATCCAGTCCTGCTGATTTATATACATCTAAATTCTTTAATTGATTGTGCACCAGTTCTACAGCAATGGTAGGAATGGTGTCAATCCTGCCCTGCTTGTTCTGTGCCCTACCTGGCACATTGTTCCCCTTGGTCTTGTGAAAGACCCAGGCAAAGTAGTCGTTTAAGAGTTCCGTTTTTTCCTGAGTGGTAGTGACCAGGTATTCTGAGGCATTGAGCAGTGGTCCCACACTCCCATTAGTTTTCCTCTTACTCCCTATGTAGCTAAAGAAGGACTTCTTCTTGTCCTTGATTCTTGTAGCTAGTTTTAGTTCAGTTTCTGCCTTAGCTTGCCTAATCTGTTTTTGACAAGTGCGGGCCATTGTCAAGTAGTCTTCCTTGGAGGCTGTCCCAAGCTTCCATTGTTTGTACGCCTCTTTCTTTTTCTGTAGGAGGGCTGCAACTTCCCTGCTCAGGCAAGAGGGTTTTTTGACCCTTCTGCTACTTTTTCTCCATAAGGGAATGGATTTTCTCTGAGCCTTAAGGGTTGTATCCTTAAGGAACGACCATTCTTCTCGTGCTCCCTTTAACTGTGGTCCTTGGTCTCTCAGGGCATTCTCTACAAGTGACCTGAGCTTATTAAAATTTGTATTTTTGAAGTCTAAGACGTCAAGTTTGGTATCTGTTTTGTCAGCCTTGTGATGGATCATGAATGTAATGATTTCATGGTGACTATTGCCTAGGCTGCCCTCTATGTTTAAGTTGGTCACCAGGTCATCCCCTTTGGCCAGGAACAGGTCAAGAACTGCATTGCCTCTAGTTGGCCTGTGCACCTTCTGAGTCGAGAAAAGCTGTTCGGTGCTGTTCAGGAAAGATCATAATCAATTTAAGCTAGCCGAGCACTCCTCCCAGGAGATGTCTGGGTAGTTGAAGTCACCCATGACAACCATGTCCCATGCACACGCGGCCTCTGTTAGTTCACAGGCAAACGCTAAATCAAGTTCCTCCTCTTGGTTAGGCAGCCTGTAGTATACACCTACAGTCAGGTCTCTCTCACCATGGCTCCCCTGGAGCTTGACCCAGAGGGTTTCAAGCTGTTCTTCTTTGGGGCCAACATCAGCCTGTAGGGAGGTGTACTGCTCCTTCACATAGAGGGCAACATCCCCACCTCTCTTCCCTACCCAACCCCTTCCTTGAAGGACGTAGCCCCTTATGGCTATGCTCCAGTCATGAGAGGAGTCCTGCCAGGTCTCCGTGATCCCTACTAGATCATAGTACCCAGTGGAAAGCAGGAGGACTAGTTCCCTCTTGCTTGTACACCAATGCCAGAAGCACGGGGAACAGGCACCTAAGTCCTTCTACTGAGGTTACTGGCTGCCTGTTGCATTGAAGGGGAGCTGTTTTCTCAGCTCCTGTAAGAGTGGCTTGCTTGGTTTCATTGTCGATGGAGCTTTCCTGTATGTTGGTTCCTGGGTAAGCTCCAGTTAGCATTTCCCCATACCTCTGCTATCTTAGTTTAAAGCCCTTTGATTAGCTGCTATTTGTGAATTAAGTCATCAACTGTTGGTTGTACTCCTGGATTGAATGACGGAAGCATGCATAGAATTAAATACATTTCAAGATACAGACTCCATGGAAAAATGTTGCACGTGAAAATACTAAAGACTTTTCAGTCAGATAAAAATATATTAAAACAGTAAAAGGAGTGTGTTGTGCTAGTAGGTTCAGTATGGCTTATTTCAGAGGCTAGATGCATAAAAAGTTTTAAATGCACCATAAAAAAATGAGAAACTTTGAACAAGGACATTTGAATAGTATGTCTTTAGAGACCCTGTACAGTGCAGACAACATATACTACCTATGATTATCTACCCTAGACCTCTTTCTAGCAGTTCATTTTTTATGCCTGCTTAGTCTAAAATTTCCCCTGGGTAGAGACAGCCTGCTGTACCCGATTATAGATGGCGGCTATTATGGTTATCATTTAAGAATTAATTGTTTGTAACATACACATATTTTTAAAAAAGAAAAAAAAGAGAATAGGGATGTGGAGTACTGAAAACCAATTCTGCATTCAACTCCTGAGCTTGACAAATGTAGGCTGACTTTTTTTTCTTTAAAACTGAGATAGATGCATATATTTTTTCATTTAATTCCAGTAAAAGTAAACTTTTTCTCCATCTTTGACTGTTCATAGTGAATATGGCTTCAAAACTTTTTAGAGCTGCATAGTAATTCCTTTGGACTGAGGGGGTCATGCAGTGGAAGAAAGAAGGGGAACATTAAGTTTTCAGGCCTATTTACAAACATATAAATGAGCCTGAAACAATAGTGGAAGGAATGCATGGATGCGAGACCCCTCTGAGGCAAAAAATCGGAAGCATTTGCATGTGGACATAATGAACCTCTCTATTAAAACTAAATGTCTTTGTGCAGAAATCATATAAAAAGTATTTGCAGTAAAACTCAAACAGATTTCTAAAAGTAATAGCTCTTGTTATTTTATTTGGAATCTTGCTACTATGAAGAAGTAAAAAATATTCAAACACCCAAACTTTGTTTCCTACATTTCCAAGACTATCAAAGTGGCAGCAATCTGTTCAGTCAGTAATCAGTTTTGATCGCATTCAAGACACTAAAATGCTGTACAAGACTTATTCTTAGTTATGGGGTATAATGATGAGAACATCTATTCTACTGCATCAAAGCCCTAATTTAAAGGCAACGACTTCACGTAAGTGTAACAAATGAAGTTCAGTGCTACTGTAACAGTTGAAAATGTATCTATTTTACCAGACCACTGTGAGCTGGGATGGAGATAAACTTCTTTGTGTACAGAAAGGAGAAAAAGAAGGTCGGGGTTGGACCCAGTGGATCGAAGGAAATGAAATGCACCTGGTAAGATCATGTAACATGTTCTGAACGTTGTCATATTTTTTCATTATTTATTCAAATGGAAAAATGTAATAGCACACAGCTTGCTGCAGGTTATCTTGGCATACTGTGGCATAATTAAGTATTGGTGTTGTACTTGACTTGCTTCTAAAGCAATAACTTCATATGGTACCATTGTTCTTTTGTGCCCCCATATATAAAGAACAGAATTTTAAATTCAGACAATCTTTGTGTTAACTGTCTGCTCTGATATATTGGCTTGAAATGTTTACACAGACAAAGACATTTAAAAGAATGTCCTTCATATGCTTGGTGAAATAAACTGCCTGGAGACTGATGAAATTCTATATCCAACAAGCCATAGGGGGAAAATATACCATTATTCTTTTTAAATAATTATAGGCCAGCATGAATTACAGCCTAGAAAGTGAAAGAGAGCAATTTAGTTTTAAAAATGTCATTCTAGCCATTATTTTCATCTTTCCTAGTTAACAGCACCTAAAGTAAGTTTATAACAGATTTTTCCCAGAGAGCCATTTATACTATCATCAGTATCATGTCAGTCCTGATAAAAGGTACTTTTCCCACTGAAAGAATCAAATCAAAACTCTTTTCCCATTCGCTAGTAAATGCACTCAATATTTAGGATGATAAGTATCTATCAGTAGCACAATAACCTTGAAGATCTTTATGATCACAGCCAGAGCCATCTGATTGTCAAAAAGGTAAAGGCCATGGGTCTATCCTAAATCTCACAGCCCAACAAGTTAAAATCAGAAAGGCATGCCAGTTATTTCCAACCACACACATGGGACTGACATTTGGCTCCCTTAGATTCACCATCCCAAATGACCACATACTATTTGCCTAGGGTGCAATCTATGCAGTCATGGATCAGCTGACCCCATCATCAGCTCAGTTTTTTACTAAACCAGAACTCCAATGTAGAACTATTTAGCAAGGAACTGAAGTGTATGATTAATCTTCTTCATGTGGACAATCCTATCCTGTTCAAAGCATTTAACTATGTACTTAAATCCCACAGACACCTCAGCTTCCTGCCTTTTTTCTTTACAGTGTACATCACAAGTTAGGCTGATAATTAATCAGGGGTGAATGAGACCCTGGAGCCGGGTTGGGTCATGGGATAGAGCCATGGGAGGCTCCAGGCTCATCCAGGGGTGGGGGGAAGCAGCTCCCTGCTGCACACATCCCTGAGCAAGGCATGGAGGGCATGTGCCCCCCCCCCGTATTTCTGCATCGGGCAGAGGTGGGCTGCCTGCTGTGGGCTGGGGCTCTGCACCCTGCTGCCTTTGCCCTGAGAGCTATGCAATGACATGTTGTGCCCCCTGCCACCGACCAGGCAAGGTGACACAGTACAGCCAGCAGGTGGCTCCCATGGCAAAGGCAGCAGGATACAGAGCCCCAGCCTGCAGCAGGCAGCCTTCCTCCACCCCATGCATGTGCCCCCCATGCCTCCCCTGGCAGTGTATGCAGTGGCATGGAGCCTCCCCCCTGTACTCCTGGTCCGTCCTGCTCCCAGCCCTGGCGTCCCATTCACCCCAGCCCCTGTCCCTCCCTCACCATACAGGCTTTGATCTGCCCCCCCTCCCCAACTCCTTCCCCTCCACTGATTTACCTGCTGGGTGCTGCTCCTCACACTGCCAGATAGCATTCTTGTATGGTTACCATTTTTCTAGTTTCAAAAAAGAGGACACCTATGGGCGGGTGGTAATATGATTGTGGAAGGGGGGAGTGGCAAAGATATGCCCATGCCCTGCCCCTCACTCCCAAGCCACAGTCCCTCAGCCCTGCTGTTGCCCCTCACTACTGGTCCACAGAACTCCACCTCCTGCCAGAGTGTGAGGGGGTCCCCCGCCCCAGGCTCGAGACCCTCCTGCAGGGACCCCCCTCCCCAGGTTCCAAACCCCACACATGCCCCCATACCTCCACAAAATCCCCCCTCCACACACACCTCACACCTACCCCCCAATCATACAAAGTGCCTGTATAATTTTGAGTTTTTCTGTACATAATTGAGTTTGTAGCTGTGTGATTAGAATCACAACTAATCGTAATCAATTTTTTTTAATTGTTTGACAGCCCTAAAAAAAAGCTCTCCAGCTCCATTGATGGGGAGGGACAGAATCAAAATAAACATGTGACCTATATTGCTTGTAGCAGGACACTAGGGTGCCTGCTACTAGCATTGGTAATAGGACTTGGCTGCCAATCAGCAGGGCAGCACAGCTGAAGGTTGCTTAGGCAATAGATTGGGTCAGCTGACCGCCAGGGGGCAGGGCCTGGCCTTTATAAACAGAGAAGGCTGAGACCAGAGTCAGTTCTCTTCTGACAGCCTGAGGAGCTGGAGCTCTGTAGCAGAGCAGAGCAGAGCAGAGCAGCGCAGCGCAGCCTGACTGCCTGCATGATGATGCAGGATAGAGAGAACCCTGGCAGGGAGGTACTGGAAGAGGGCCAGGGTGGTGGTGGAGGTAGGTTGTATCCACAAGGCTCATTTTAGGTTACAACCGGGTTGGCTTAGAGTTACGTTAGAGCCAGGAGGCTTAGGTTATGTTAGAGCCAGTTGGCTCTTGGTTGTGTTTGTTTACATTATATCAGAGGACCGGGTGAGGCTGTAGGGGTGTGAGGAGGCCTCATGGGAGCTCCCCAAGAGTCTGGGGGTTCCTGGGTGCCCTGTTTGGGCACAGCAAGCAGTGCCTGGGAGGCATGGCTGTGTGGCGCCACGTGTGGGGTATTAAGCCCCAGCCTGTGAGGGTGCTACTTGCCCAGTAGGGCATAGGACCCTGAGAAGGGTCAGGGGGCCAGGCACAGCAGTGAGCCACCTGAGCCCCAAGCATGAGAAGTGCGGGACAGGCCCAGAGAGGGCAATGAGTGCGAGTAGTGCGGGACAGGCCTGTGAGGGCAGTACTTGCCCAGTAGGGCGTAGGACCCCGAGAAGGGTCGGGGCCCGGAGAGGGCGATGAGCGCGGGACAGGCCCAGAGAGGGTGACAAGTGCGGGACGCGCATGGTTTACAGTCCAGAGTAGGGCCGAGAGCATGGTGAAAAGTCCAGAGAAGGACAGAGTGTGTGGTTGCGAAGCCTGGAGAAAGGCGAGGGGGTGAATAGAAGCCCGGGAAGGGCGAACATATAGGTATAAGAACGTCCGGTACAACTGCGAGGCTTGGGGCGTGCTACAGGGGAGGTAGGAGCCACACATAGCCCATAAGGCAGGGTGCACCGGTTCAGAGTAGGGCCAGTATGAAAGCGCCGTGCCCAAGGGGACGGAAGGCAGCCTCCCACTGATAATAAGATCAAAGACGTGGCAGGCGAGACGGAGGGTGCGTTTAGGACCCAGATTGTGGCACAGTAGGGGTGCTGGGGGATCACAGCCATGCTGGTGCCCTGCCCCGTGACATTGCTCCTTCCAGTTCAGCATGGTAGCATATGCCACTTCATACCTAAAGGCTCCTAATGGTATATTTATCATCTTGTGGGCTTCATTAACTTAAGAAGGCATCCTATTTACTCCATTTGGAGACTTTACTGGGTGCATCTACATGTTCATCAATGAGCTGTAATTATGGTGCATTAAGTTTAGTACCTGTAATAACAGGTACTTACTTAATATGCTGTAATAGGTGCTACTACGCATTAGCACAGATGAATGCTTTTTGAGTGACATAATGAGTATTGGACTCAAGCTACTGTGTATTAGCATATAAGCACAGTTTTTGCCTGTCACACTAATGCACAGCAGAATTAGTTTAACTCTCATTACATGTCTTCAGTAGACATGTCCACTGAGATCCAGTCTCCATTGACCATGTAGTAGAAAAAGTTTATATTCAATTTTTTTGTAATGATAATGCATAACTCAGATCACTGAATCTCTAGATATTAGGAAGTCCTTTGATGCCTTTGCCATTAAATATTGCGTACTGGGCATGTCTACGCACACAATAATGCGCTTTAGGTAATGCGCATTAAATTCAGTACCTCCATTGTGAAGTACTAGAAAAAGGCACATTCACCTATTTTAATGTGCATTAGTTAAAGAGCACTTTTCTGTGATGCTTTAATGTGCTAATTAAAATAATTAAAGTGTGCAAACTGAAGTGCATGTGTAGATGTGCCTATTCTGATAATTCTAGGATTCATTTGAACTTTATACAGTGGTCCAAATGTTTAATCCTTTGCACAGTTCTGCAGTGTTGAGTGCTATACTATGGGCTTGAGTAGTTATCTACTGATTTCCCTCTCCACTTCCTGATCTGGATTTTTTTTTTCTTCTCTTCAGATTCTATTTTGCTACAGTGACTTGAAATAGATACTTGCCTAGCCATTGTCCACTTCCTCTCAAACTGTATTACTCTTATTTTGTATTGGCTGCTTCTATCATGTTTTTTGTTTTGTTTTTTTTATTTTATTTAATTTTATAAAATCAGCAGCAGATTTCATAACCTTACTGCTTGGTTATATATATCTATATGGGGGGGGGGGAAAAGAGTCCTAAAACTGGCACTTGCAGTTCAAGTGCTTCCATTCATGCTGAACTGCTTGCTCTTACTAGTACATTTCAAAATCTCAGCAGCTCACTCCAGTAAGCTGACTGACCTAGATTAGTCTTGTGTGTGGTACTGGCCTGTCAACTATCTCCCAGTTCCTCAGATTGCTTTATCAACTTTCTCAAAAATCTCCCTTTTTGAAATCAAGCTAGAGGTTTTAACTGTACTGAGGAGACTGTAGTGGGGCTCGGTTCTGTCCTTCAGGACATCTTCCTAATACTTTTTCCCCACTACTGAAGTCTAGCTTATAGGGTTGTAGCTTACAGGATCTTCTCCAGAGCACATTGCCAGACACTGGAATTGTATTTCTGAGGTTTAACTCATACAGTGGTAGTCATGGAAGAACAGGCATTTATCTCACCTGGTATTTACTTCTATAGCTGTCTTTCCTAGACTTAATGTGGGAAGTACTGCAGACAGCATCATAAACAACTGGTACTAGAGTTAAGAGTCTCCATTATTTATTGATATGAAATCTTTGATGCTACTTCCTTAATGACTCTGAAATGGATTCTCATGTTTCTAGGTCTTGGCCCACATTTTCCAAGCTCTTTAATGCAATCCTACCCCTTTGAATATACAGAGGTATCAACTTATTTCAGTATTGTTCTACTCAGGAGCAGAAGTCCACCCATGCAGAGTACCATGCACAATCAAGGCCCTATATATGAAGGGAAAAGTCAATGACAAGACTCCCCTAGACTCTATCTAGGGTGAATTCCTATCTAGGGTGCTTTCCTAATCAATCCCAAATCAGAGTGTACTACACAAATAACCCTCATCTCCCTTTCAGTGGTCCCACTGACTCTTTCATTTACTGGGTTGTCCCTGGGTACTTGAAGATTATCTCCATGCGAGTGTTCTCCCCTTTATAATAAAATGTATTAATTTTATTTAATTTGTAATTAAAGTACCTTTTCCTTCAGGCATCTCCAATTCTTCACTATTTACTTGTATTTAACTTTAGTATAATTTTATATATGTCTCATTGCTTATTACGACCCATATACCCTGCTATAGCCAGGGTACTTATCCACCACCATGGATCCAACTGATGGTCACTTTTCTCACACAGGAAAAAAAACACCACCCCTCTCAGAATTCAATTCACGCCCTACTAGTGACATATTTTATTAGTGCAAGTGGAACACTCACAAGACCCCTTTCAAAGTAAAACAGTTCTCAAACCCCTCACGCTACCAATATTCCTCCATTATCATGCTCACCTAAGGATTTCTACAAAAGGTTCCCTCCAGAATTCACTCTCCAAGCTTTCTTCACTCTGTCATCTACAAAACCTGTGGATCTTTTATCATTCTTCTTTTGATCTTCCTCTGGAGGTTTACTTTGACCCCAAGATCACCAAATGATTTTCTTTAAAGTTGTTTTCAATGATGGACTGTGAAGTGACAATCAAGAAACACTAGTTGCCCAACACAACCAAGATCCACTCCCACCAAAAAGAGAGGAAAAAAAAAACCTCTCTCTGTAGTGTTACTTATCAACTCACTTGTAGGCTTCTCTGTCAGTTCTCCATTCCCTGTCCTGTTCACAGAATTGCATCCTCCTCGGTTCCCTCTTCTGTATAGTCACAGTTTGGAGCAGATTTATGGATGGCTTTGAGGCACTTTTTTCTTTCTTCTTTGCTTTTTTTTAAATAACCTTGGTTACGAAATACAACTTGCAGAGCTGATTGCCCAACTGCTTGGTTATTGATGGCAAATATGCTACATATGCATCCAAAGCAGATAAATGACCATTTTCAATGGATGTAAATAACTACATGCATAAATGTGAGAATACACCACCACAGTCAAGGCCTCACATTTAGCCCATTATGTCCAGGTGTCTGAAGTCCTGTAGTAATAGTTAGCTTGCTTTCCAAATACACATTATTGGTTCTTGTTGCATCATATATTCAGTAAAATAGCCATATATCTGCCTTAATTTGAATCTATAATTTCCAATCAAATATTTAAGTTAAGCATATCAAATGAGTGTTTTGGAGATAATATACATGTGTTTCCATATTGTATAAATGTTGCACTTACGAGTAATTTTCTTTTCAGGAAATAAGAGCATGTGGAACCACATGTAAGCAAGTCTTCAAGAAGGTGCAGTGAACCTGATCTACAGATACAGATTTAAAAAAAAGAAGAACAGAATTAACAGAACTGCAACCAAAGCTGGGCATGAGTATACCCTTAGCATCTAGAGGGCAGATTTAGATCAGCATGAAGTTAGAACTGTGTAATGTTCTCTTTCTGTAACATATATCATTCTAGTTCTTTAAAAAAATCATTCCAAGTAAATGCAATTAAAAGAACTTAGTCATACATGCATGCACACCTAACTTCTCAGTAAAACAAAGATAAGGTACGTAACTAGATTCTTTAGTACAAAAACAGACCCATTTCTCATATGCAGCAAGACCATTTTAGATGACTATAGTCATATAGAGGGGCCTTAAGGTAAACTGCTTCACAACCAAAATAGTGCTGAGTGGCCTTACTGTAAAATCCTAGTAGAGAATCAGATCCAAAGTATTTTGTGGCTTAAAAATAAACTGTGAAATCCTTGCTCCATTGAAGTCAATGAAGTCACCGACTTCAGCAAAGCAGTGTTTCACTTCTAATAGTGTTCTAGCAGATGTGAAAGACTGTGGGTTTGTAAGAGTTAAACAATGATGTGGACCAATAATCTGGAAAAATAGTGCTTAATAAGACAGCATCGCCAAAAAGCAACCTTTTTTTTTTTTTTTTTTTAGGGGTTTTAGCCAATCCTTGGTACATTGATTTTTGTTTTTGTTTTTTTTAATTTTGAACAGAATAGCTAGTAGATAACAATATATGGCTTCTTTTTTTCGTTTCAAATGCAGCTGCTAGGAATTGTGTAAAACCAGGCAGAAGATTAAATCTTTAACTAGAACTTTATTAGGACATTACCAAATTATCTGTATTCTAGTACTGAGGGAAAAGCAGAGTATGATACTGAATTGACAGCTGTAAGTTACACTGACAATAATATAATTGCGATTAACAATATATTAAAGATTTAAAACAGACCACTGTGTGCATATACTGACAGTGCATTGATAATCTATAGTAATTTAGACCAAAAGACTGCAAGCCAATGAACACCGTTAATTCCCAGTAAAGTCAGAAACAGCAGAGGACAAGTGGCTTTTGAAGGGTCAGATCCACTGTGCTTGTGTTCCTTACACAAAACGGTTGTGCGATTTCCCATTTGTAAAAGCTTACCCAAGCACAGACCCAAAACAAAAGACATATTTATAAACACCTTGCAGACTGACAATGACATATGCTGCTTCTAAAGCACCATTGCTTCCTGTGCTTTTAATCACTGCTGTCCTATAATTATTACAAGTATAACAACTGTCACAGATAAGCAAGTTTAACTACAGTCTCTTAAACCCCTGCCACATTTACAGCTGTCTCCTATTCCAGTCCTAATGTGTATGTGTCTACTCTACTGTACATCCTGAACTCTATGCCCAGTAGCAATTCATATATGCAATTAATGCATGACTATAAGAAAACACCCTTTTTCCACACACATTTTATTGGAAGTTTTACAGAGGCCTTTGCTTGCACTGCAAAACGCCACACAAATTGGATTAGAGAGTCCTCAAATTCTTATGTGGCTGTTTAACAGCAGTGCATAAAGACAATGCACAAGAGAGGTTTTGGGAGCAATATCTAGACTCACATTTACTGAACCAGTAGAACTTGGAAACTCAGAGATTTCACACTTTGGGAAGATGTCGGTTGTCTTTCTACCTAGGTTTCTCTATTTTTAGTCCTGAGCATATGGATATTATGTCATTTGTTTGATGTCCCCATTAGCCAGTTCACAGAAGTACAGTCAGAGGGGTACTCTATGCTTCTGTCCTGTGTCCAATTTGTTGACAGGATTACTCAAAGATGACTGCAGGTAAGTGGAGCTCCAGAATGAGGGGAGAGAAGACTCAAAACTTCTCTGCTTAACTTTCTGGTTTGGGTGCTGTTCTTTTGAAGGCTCCCCTTCATCAGTTGTTTAAGATTATCCACTTACAAAGTGTTATCACCTTGTATTGGGATTGGGGCTCCTCCGATTACAATACAAAACAGCTGTTTCCTTCCCTGTGAAAAGTTACTAGCACAGAAGCCAGCAACTACCTTTTAACTATCCATTCTATGGATTTTACACTGCAAAATTTCAGACCTTTCTCCCCAAGGGAAATAGAATACAATGAACAATAAGGACTGATCTTTTATTTATAACCCATATTTCAATTCATTAAAGACCACCTCAGCTGCAAATTACAAATACACAGTAACAAGATAGTTCACAGGACTATTCGCAATTAAATTTTGTACAATTCATTTTAATGCTCACTATCCACTCAGACATTTCTTTTAAAAGAGTTCGTCTCCAATAGGGCTTGGCAGTTCATAACTCTTAATTCACCATCTTCTAATTTTTGCTTCTAGCTTCATGCAATCTTATGCAACATTCATGAACTCTTTTTTGTGGAAGGTTTTAAGTGGATCAATTAACATCTAGCTAAGTAAATCCAGTTGTTAGAGACCTATTATGATTGTAATCAGACAGACAGCTTTTTCCCTTGGGGTCATTTGGTACAAGGGCAAATTTAGTACTGCAGTTAATAACTAATGGCTTATCAAATACAAGCCATGTAACCTGTTTACAATTACAGAGAAAAGGCAGAGTCAGGAAGTAGTTTGACATTTACATTTTATATAAAATATAGAAGCTTCAAAAATCTTTAGCTTTCAGTATATTTTCTTTAAATCACCTAAATGACTTGTCATTACAATCTCAATCTGTTATCTCTACTGCAGCAACCATTTCCCCAAGAAAAGGACATAGAAAATGCAGCTCACTCATTGCTTCCCTTCAAATAACATGCACAAAATTGGCCATGCTGTCTCTACAAGACTTTAACAAGGTATCATAAAGTAGAATTTTAATACCTCTTAGTGAAGTGCTTTGTTTGGTTGGATGTTATACAAAAAATCTTTGATTTGACATACCACCAGCCTCCCCTACTCCTCCTAAAGTTACCAAATGGCCAATTTCAAGATTTTCATAGTAAATGCTTATGCAGACTTGTTTACTACTCAGGGATCTCACTTCATATCGATTTCCTTGATCTTCTACAGCATCCAGCTATGGTTTATCAATATACTCAGCTTTTCTTATTTCTGCACAATTGCATTACTTCCAATCATTTATAATGGCCACTCAGATTTTTCTGGGAAAGACTAGAAAATGTCTTACAATGGCAGAGAAAACAGAAGGCCAGAAAAGGCATATTTCAGCACTAATTCCAAGGAATTCTACTTGTGTTTTAGAGAAATCTCTCTCTCAAAAATAAGTAAATAAAATACCTCCTGTTTCACTATACACATCTCTCTCCCCACACAACTATGATTGTTTCCTGTTCTCATTTCTCTCTCTCTACTGTACATTGATCTCCTGGGGATGACAAGCTTATCTCTCAACTGGTGTTAGAGCATTGGGACTCATACTCTGCCACTGAGCCCCACTGCTCTGACAGAAAATGAATAAGTATACCTGGAGATGCTTTTCTCCAAAACCTTCCTGGGGATTTTACAGTCTCTAGTTCTTTTCATTCTGGGACCAGTTCCCAGTTTTGTATTGGTCTTAACAGGTGGTAGAATTAGAAGTACTGCTAATTTAAAAAAAAAAAGATCAACCAAGACTTAAAAGAAAAATACTCTTTTGAAAATGGAAGTTTCCATGAGAAGTGGGGAAAAACATTTGCCAAAAGCTCCTACTGTTCACAAAGTATTTTTCTGTATGCATCTAAAAACTTTCAGCTTTGCATAAGAAATAACAAAAACTATGCAGACCAAGTTCCCTAGAGATTTCCACCTAGCCTCTTCAGTGGTAGACCTATTTTGGCCCACCGAAAGAATCTATTCCAGCATGAAGGGTCCAGAGCAGATGGTTAGATATGCTCTATAGTGCTCTCAAAAATGGATCCATCACAAGTAACTAACTACCTTGCAGCATAGACACACTGAGGTTTGGGCTTATGCACTTCACACACACAAGCACATACATAGGACATTTAAAACCCTTCTACTTGTGTCAGAATAAATACAGCTCACACGTTCCAGTTCTGGATTTATCACTGGAATTGCTACTGTACATTCCTCTTCCTAGCCACTATGTAATTGTGAGGACCAGGGCTGAACTAAGAAGTCTGCCACAGTCATTTCCACACTCCCCTGTAACTGTACTTTCTGGCTCTTCTGCACACATCTCCTTTGCCCTCTATTTCTGGAAAGATACTTTATATCACCTTGTCAGGCACTTATTCATTATATTTTTCATGGGCTACTGTTGACTGCTGGCAGATAGTTAATCATTGGTCTACCAGACAGAGAACTGGCTTCCCTTGTATAGATGACTGGTCAAAGGAGCCTATGCAAATTACAGTTCAGCTACAGCATTATGAATTCAAGCATAGTAGCAGGCATTTTCTCAGTGAATATTCCATGTCAAGCCAGCTTCCTTATCTGGGCATTTACAGGAATGAACTTCAGTGCCAGGAACAATACAAACTACAGCACCACAAATCCAAGGGCATGAGCCTAAGAGCTGGTAATACACCATAAAACACAAGAATTGCCATTTACTGGATCAGGCCATACATCTGTCTTGCCCAGTATCTTGTGTCCACCTGGGGGTATCGGTACTTTCCCCTGGCTGCTGCTGGAGTTGCTGGGCCCAGGACCAGCAGGAAAGCTCTGCTGAGCTACCCCAGGCTCATGCTCTCCCTACCATCACCTTCACCTACAGCACCACTTTCTCCTCTCAGGGGAGAGGAGGCCTTCTGCTTCCACTTGCAGCAACAAGGGGACCCCACACTGCCACTGGGCCTCCCCCACCAGCAAACACCACCTCTGCTTTACTGCTAGTTGCTCCAGCAGCATCCCTGTGTCTATCCCTACCGTGGTCCACTACCCCTCTCCCAGTATTTTGTATATGCTATATAACCATCTACTCAGCCTTACCCCAGCTCTGCAAACCTGGCTGCTCAGCCCAGTGGCCAGAGCTATGCCCAGGTGGCTGCAGGCAAACCTGCAGCCT